TTTCTGACGTTTTCTTACGCCTCCATGCTTTCTGGTTCGATGGTTACTGATATGAGGAAGTTTGATGGTGTTCAATCGTCAGCGGCACAGGTAATGACATTAGGGAGTGTTTCCTAAGCCGACTGCTTATGGACGCCATTTAACGCGTTGAACATATGAGCAATGGTTAACCTGCCATAATGCTGCGTTCTCAGGGTGCCGGCTGAAGTTTGAACCAGCAAATTTACTAATGAATATTTGTGTATCACTCGTTTTTGAAACATAGTTTTGCAATCTCCAATGTTTATGGAAATGTAGAATAGTTTAATTCACTATTAAATTTGCGCAGTTCACGTTGTGATGACAATACAACCAGTTAGCAAATGGAACATGACGTACTGAGGCAGTTGAAGATGCACATATAAGCATGATGATCATAAATTTCGTCAACCGTGGTAGCTGATTACCGTAATTTTATAATTATTTGGGATATTCTCCAATTCTAAGCCACAGAATTGCCACCTGTTTCTCGATTGGCTGCGCTGGAATACTGTAGGATGAATTACGCTGAAGGAAATGAGCAATTATTACGAAAAACTTACGCTCAAGAACATTGAAATTAATGTAAGACTAGGTGAGAAATATCTTGCGTCATTGTTTGCAATGAGCAGAAAAGTGCAAAAATTGAGATTTCGCACGTACGTTTCACGGACGGTTTTTTGGGATTGTTACCATGTTTATCTACACAGCTTATGCATAAGTTTGCGTTAGATTCATGGTATTCCTTTCGATGGATATTGGATTTTATTTTAGGCGGCTTCCACTAAGTCTATAAAGGAAAATTTTCCGATCAGCTGCGATGTGTTGTTCTCTTTCGATTCACGCCCTGGCAGCTGACAAATCATTTGGCTTGTTCACTAGATGGTGGTTCCTGAAATTCTTCTGTTTCTTGAAACCTCAGGCGTTTTGAACGCGATCAATAAAGCTAATGCATAATCCGCTTACATGTTAGTGTGACTACATTTCTTCATAATGAATAATAACTTGTGCAACGCAGGCTGCTCCAGTGATTTTGGTTTTAATTTACACAGAAAAAATTAAAAATTGACTTTTGTGCGGTAAAATGCTAATGGCTTAATTATTAACTTGCAAAATGGTGTCTGAAATTGAAAATCTGTGCTCGTATAACATTTTTCTTTTTCTACCAGATTTACATGTTCTACAGGCACCGTACCTTCGCTTCTAGTTGCCTAGAGGACTGTTTAAGCAGGCCATGGCTCCGTGATATTTGAGCATCTGCAGCACATGATGCAAAACCGCATCACGGGTCAGGGCTGAAATAAGTCCTATCAGGACACCTGCTGATATTCCGCTATCCCTAGGCGTTTCATGCACAAAATTAAACACCAATCATACACCTGCTACATGCTATCATCATAATGTAAAAAATAACTTTTCTTGTACTACCGGATTTACCCAGCCTAAGGCACTCTGTTTATAAAATTATGACTTTATCGTTTCCGATTTTATTTAAATACTGATGATAATGATGACTTGTTTGTGTATCTTACTCAAGAGTAATTTCTGCTGTTTTATTTAATTGGGGATGAAAAATTATGATTCCTGACATGTGCATTTACACTGAATATGCAGACACTGAAGATGCTGTTATCGTTTTCCAAAATTGAGCAAAAGATTTCTTAACGATGGTGTTGAGAGAACATCACTATTAATATGAAGTTCTTTTATTGAAATATAGTCGTTTACGGCTTAGTCCATGCACAACTACAACTGCAAAGAAAGAATAGGAAAGTTTTTCAATCGTTAGAATCTGGATCATTTTTTCACGTTCATGATGGGTTCATATCTGCCGCCATTCTTTAAACAAACTTAATGGCCCGGCGCCCGGCACTGACATCCATTTCCATGCCATTTGTCAGGTTTGCCTTGTTTTAAAGGCAAAGTCTATAGCAGCTATACGGCAGGCATTGTATGTAGTTTCCTGTTTCCTTCCCAAGTGTGGTACTCATTTATTAACTTCAGAAGTAAGAAAGGCGAGTGCCCCTGACAGGGGGTAAAACACGACCTCTCGAACCTGAGTAACACTCTCTATCGATTTGCAAAGCCGATCAGAAACGACGTGTGGTAAATTCTTTGCAAAAAATTCGTGGTTTAGAGAAAGATTGCTTGTCTGCTGAAATCGAACTCGGCAGCTCCGGAGTTCGAAGTCGGACCTCTTAGGCACGCTACCGCACCACACTACAACCTGAAAATTAGTGTAAACATGCGGGGTGTCAGAATAAGCATAAGATTTATATTGGCGTCATTTATTGGCCAGTTCGCTGCCATGAAGGAGAATTAGCGGTACAAATGACACTTTTCAATTACTGTGAATACACAGGGTATTGGCCATAGCAAGTTTTGCTGTAACCACCTTCAAGCACTCGCTTAAAGTCTGCCTCATGTCTCATTTTAACATGCTTATTTAAATGCCAGCGGTCAATCGTAAATTGATCTTGATTAAAGCAGCATGATTCAGCATATGTTAAAGAAAACAGGATTAAATTTACCAGCAATTATAATGCAATGTTTCTTGCGGGCGCTCAAATCGATTCGATGTCCGTTTCTCGATCACAGGCGCTGGCAACTCGATGTGACAAACAAAGAGTGCATTTCGTGGAAATCTTTGAAAGTCGGAGAGCTCGTTAGGCTTCTGCACTTTATTGATGCTTTAGGTACTCATGTCAGTTTTCCCAAAACGGTTTTAATACAATTTAATTTGCTTTCATGTGCCATTATTTTGCAAAAAATATATTGGAGAGTGGTTAGCAGCTCTTCGCGGAAAATATTAAGTAGAGCGACAAAGAACAACGAAGAATTCACGTAGGCTTGAAATCTTGAATAGCTGATTAACGGTGAATGATTGAATGGCCAAACGGTTTCCGCTCTCTATGGAGGAACCCAAACGAAACGTGGACACAGTTTATTTTGGTGTACTGCTTATGCTTATCGCCGTCCATTGAAACTCATTTAGATCAGTTTGCTTTGTGAAGCTCTTTTTGGAACATAGTTTTCGAAATTAAGAATTTACTCAGTTTTTCTTCTGCCTATTCGGTGACTCTTTCTGACGGCAGTAGCCAACTATACGAATCCCTCTTTACAATCATCAATCCATCGTGACATAAGTCTGCTACGCGAAATTTTCGATCGATTTCTGCCTTACAAAGCTGCTGTCACCAATTCTCTCGCATATGAACGTTGTTGCAGCCGTCGGCTTTACAGACTGTTCTTCACGCTATTACTGAAGCTTATCCAATGATAAAAAAATTTTCCACTTGATCCTTATCATTTTCAAAGTTCTGTCATGTGAATGGCTTCAAACTTTTTGTAGCATACGTCACTTCATTTTACCACTTCTCAGCTACAGAGAACGTTTGACGGAATGGTGACTCATATCGTATAGCCTTCGTCGTCTCTTCGCCTGCAGAACTTTCTTGAAGCTACTAAGGATAACGATCCAGGACTATTAATATTTAATGTAGTAGTTTTGTCATTCACATCTGTTACTATGAAAAGTAGGCACGCGAAGACTCTGTTCGTTGATTTCCCAGGTCCTGAGTCCTGTGAGCTAGAAATCGACGTTAAGTGGCATTAATATTATTTATCATATGCAACTGATGCGCGAAAACGGGCGTATAACATTGAGTTTTAGCTCATAGCAAGAAAATTATCAGCACTAAAGCTAACGAAATGTCGCAAAACGCCAAACAGCATAATCTGTATCGCCTAGAGAAATTCATTGGCCTTGGTCTAAGTAATGCGTTCATAAATATTCCAGTCTTCTAGACTTAGCAGAAAATTACCCGTCTTGTTCCACATCACACATCACAACGAGCAACCCACTCATCGAATTCAGTAGCTGGGCAAAAAGCGAAACATACTTGGATCTACGCAATCTCTTGCAATCGTCGAGCAGTGTATATTGGGGAAACCTCAACCAAGATCGGAGATGGTAAAACTAGATCAGTCAATCACTTTACCTGGCCTCTAAGCCTCTCTGTTCACGGAGACAGAGTCGTCAGACAGTGTCCCCAACACTCTCAATCCTGTACCAGCGTTTGATCTTCAGCAGAAGACAACTTCAGTCTGTAGCGGAGTCGTTGTACACATGTGGCCAGGCAGTTACTGGCCGTCCCCGGGGTGTTCGGTTAGTCGGATGAGGAAGTAGTGGCTGTTTAGCAGTCCGTCCTGAATGCATTCGCAACACGTGCCAAAACCACCGCAACCGTGACGTTTCAATCTGGAGAAGCAGCGGTTTCACACCATGGCTCTCTTGAAGAACTGTACTTCGCACCATTTCGAGAAGCATGAGTCAAGCAATTCGTCTCAGAAAACTTATTTTTGCCGGATGGAAGTTTTCAGTCATGCAAACGACTGATGTCCGTAGGTGAGCAGTGCCTCAGGTTGGTTCACGCAGAACGCCGCTAGCCATTCCACTTCACCGCTCAGCCATTTCCATTTTCCATCACCAGCAAGCACGACCTCGAGGTAGGTTTCCGTCTATTGGCGGAGAACAACGGGCAGGAAAAAGTGAATGCAGTCGGCTATTCTCTATGGACAAATTCACCGCATGCCGGCTACGTCGCATTCGGCTGCGAACTTTTCCAGCGAGTTCTGGATGTCGCCCACAAGCTGCAACCGACTCATCTACAAATTTCACACGCTGATGTCCCGCGACTTCTATGCAAGTACAACACAGAGAGAAGAGGGAGCAGAAGGCAGCCTTGCGGAAACCAGTGTTAACGGTTAAAAGTCTCAGCATGACGTCGTTTACTCTGATTCACCACCTGCTATCAACATGTAGTGGCTAAATGGCTTGTAGCAATCCCATATGTTCGCAGGTGCGCCCATAGATTGTTACGTGAGATCCGGTCATCCATAAACCCAGTGAGCGAACTCCAACGATTTCTCTACAATCCGATGAAACGAAGATCTGGTCAGAGATTCTTTGTTCTGAGAAGAAGCGACAATGCTTTTCATGTATCTTAGAGTCAGGACTTCCGTGGAATCACCTTGCTAACACCTTTTAGTCGATTTTCCTAACGAGGCAAAAAAAAGTAAATGCCCTTACAACCGGATCACTCAATATGGTTTCCCTTTTTGAACAGAGGTAGTACAACCCCCATCCTCCAGTCCATCGGTGTCTTCTCCGTAGCCATTGCAGCTTGACAAACTCGTCTAAGCCATATACGCATTGTTGGCCCAAAACTGTAAGCAATTCAGCGCGGATTTCGTCGACTTCAGCTATTTTGCCACTTTTAAGCATTCAACAGTCTGTGTGATTTCATCTGCAGAAAGAGCTAATATTCGTTACGTGTTACTCTTCATGCGAGTCTCCCTGCGGTTGCTCGGATTTGAGGAGATCCTCAAAGTACTCTCTGTATCGCTGTAGTATATCCTCATCCATCGTAGGAGAGTGTCTAGACTTGTCTTTCAGGACTTTTTGATTGTCCTTCATCACATTTCGAAGACGGTGGACCGTCTGCCAAAACGCCTTCTTTTTCGTCTGACGGTTCGATTCCAGGAATCAGCTTACGCCTTGACAACTGTTTTCTCCCGTGTCTTACGTGCTTCTTCGTACTGCATGCGAGTTGAAGGTTCTTTTTTCCCAAGCCATCTCTTAAATACGGCCATTTTTTCGGCGACAGCCAGTTGAACCTCTCTTGTCCTGAAGGGAAATCTTTTGCGACCTTCAGGAGGCGGTAGGCCAAATGTTTTAAAGAAAGGCACAACGATGGCGGCCAGAATAAGCGGCTTTTAAAAATCTTCCCTTCGATTTGCGCATCAGCGATCGTCAATGAGACCTATTTAATCCATTCTGCGATGCTAGAATGACGACTCGCTGACTAAATTACGGAAGATCCTGATAATACTGGATTAACTATGTCACGAAATGGAAAAAAAATGAACATTCTTGGCGCCGCTTGTGTAGTCAAAATCTAAACAATCTTGTGTAGTCAAAATTCAACAAGCAGCGTTGCTCTGAGATTTACATTCTTGTTGTCGTTCGGATGAACAATTAGTGACAGAAATGACGCTGAACTTGCGAATGAATTAGCTTAGTTCCATATTGGAAGAGTTTGTTTTACAGATTCTCATGCAGGAAAATAAAGAGCGAATCTATGCAATGCATGTCTCGACACTGCTAGCGATCATCAACTGTCAAAATTATTATTTTCTTTTCTTTACATGCAACGTGAGGGCCGTTAATTCATTGAAATATATATTCGACGTCGATTATCAATAGTTACTATATATTACTTAAAAGTTTAACTAATGAAAGAAGCTAACAGTAACAGCTTGCAGCAAGAGGTAGTTACGAATATTATTCGAGTTAATTTCCGTACATACGCTCAAGAAGCATTGGCCAGCTTTGAAATCCTCCACTGAATATGATTCAATGCTTGGAGATGAAGGATCAATTACATTCGCACGAGATCTTTACGTAGGAAGGAAATCAGAATCCCATTCACGCGACAGAGAAAACGTTGTTTAGCACATATACGGCCAATATGAATGCCGAGGTGATGGGATATGTTGAGGTGGCCATTGCTTTTTCAAATTGTCGCAAAAGGAGAGCGGTAAAAATCTTTCCAGCCACATCAGTTAGACGTGTCCCTGCTAGATTATGTAGAGCGTCAGCCATGACGACTATGGGAATCACTGCCTCACCTAACTTTCATTTCGTATTAAAGACTGTCATACATTGTAGGAGGACGCAGTTTCTTAAATTCCCAAATATATATTTCAACACTGATCTAATGAAAAAGATGCCTATAACAACCAAGCTCAATACTGTCGAAAATGGGTGGATTTTACGACGTTCGATTGTTGTCTGCAATCTGATATTTTAGCATGAGTGCGTATGGAAAAATGCGGACGATAGCGAATTTGAAGTGTATGACGCAAAGCTCGAGAATCTATCAATGGTAGAGCGACAAGCTCTGCAGAAGATCTCCCTTCGAAAACTAAGAGCTTTCCACTTTGGCTGCAACATCAACCTTCCGAAAGGTGAGTAAAAGATTTTTTGCTATTTTTGTCACCTGTACATTTTGATGTATTCAAGGTTCATTTGTTTTAGAAAAGGAGCCTCGAAAGCCGAATCAGAGCTTCTTTTGGTCTTCGCGAAGTGATAACGGTATGCTACCTTCACTTGAAAGATTTTTAGTTGTTCGGCGCAGGTCCTTGCCTGCGTTTAAAAGGAAAAGATTCCTAACTTTAAGCAGATTGCTTGAATTCATTATGCGCATGAAGAATTTCTAATCGTCATAATGTTCAAGGGGATTTCTCCCCATGTAAATTTTACGCATTAAATGAATTCTACTTCAAAGTTCATGATATGACAATAGGGCATTGCTGACCTGACCCTTGCACTTGCTGTATTAGCTTGTTCCGAAACGTCGGGATGATTCTAAGAAAATTCAAATTGCGTACTGCGCCCTTTGAAGATTATGACGATCAAGCGAAGATTCTGCAACTTTTGACTAAGTTATGAAGTGACGATTAACGTAAAAGAGTGGCAGATCTTTTCAAGACGGTCAGCATTAGAAATGGATCGACTTACCCATCGTATTTTATGTCTCCTGATAATATATAAAATGCAGATATTAACAGTTATCAGTTTTTGGAAAACGTATTCCTTACGGATTAGCAGGGTTTTCTTCAATTTTTTATAACTCAGGTTGTTCCTGGTCTACTTCCTCGCACACAGCGGATAGTCAATTAGAATACTAGATTTCTACTAGATAACCAGAAATAAGTTTCTCTTTTACGGATTCTGAGGCATCTGACTTATCAGTTTTTACTGTCAGAGTTGCCACGATTTCAGCCTCAGCGTGGCGAATAGGAGCAATGAAATACATTAGCAAATCAGACTAAGCAAGCTATCGTTATCGCCATCGTTGATTAGAAAGCACACAGATTACCGATTCCTACGGGAGAAATCTTATAGCCAGTTGTGATTCAAAGCCTTGTTAGCCAACAGCAATAGAAGAACCCAGCATATTTTCTGTATTAAAGAGCTTCTACCACGTCTCGTGTCTGATACCTGGTTGTACGTTTGGCTATATGTCGATGAAACGTCACCCACTGAGGTTTTCCTCACAGCTTAACTCCAAGTCTGTTCACTTCATCCATTAGTCAAGTTTTTAGACGCAGTTGACAAACACACCGGTAGCTTGTCGACAGCGTATCCGCACAGATAGGGTAGTCAGGCGCATATGGGGTGTCGAATGCATCAAAATTAAAGATGTCGAGACGGGAAATGTGCTGTTTGCAGACGACCTTATTTGTTCATATCTTTTGAAATCGATCTCCAGCGATCTCTGAGATGATTGATAGCTGAGTACGATGATGCCGGTATACGAATCAACGTGTCTAAAACCAAAAGCGTAGAGTTTTTTCATTCTCCCTGTTCGTTGCGCTTTGCAAATTAAAGGAGGAACAGTTAATCAGATGGCGAAGTTCGTGTATTTCGGAGTCGTG